GAGCCAGTAGGGTTAGGGTGATAACCTACTGTATCATCATATCCACGGCCGCGCTGCAACTAACGGCGCACGATCTCAGCTCAAACACCGGTTAACATTATTACTACAGCTATAAGAGGCCCGAATACTATGCATGCAATTATTGAAGAAATAAAATAGATTTAACGTAAAAATTTCTCTCTTTTTATTTGTCTTTCTCTCTTCTCTCTCTCTTTTTCTTTCTCAATTCAGAAACCATGTCTAAAGTTTCTAACAAAGTGATACCAAAGCCAGTGTAGCCGGCCGAATCATGCGTCGAGATCGCTTCGCATACTCGATCCAATGGAAAGGCAGCAACCGTGGTGGAACAACAGGAGTCGACTACAACGGAGTTGGACCAACGGTTCTCTGACCTTGTGGCTGAAGTTCGTGAGAGCTAAAAAGAAAGAAGACAATTTGAATACCGATGGAGTTGATGCGCCACAATGCACCACACTAAGAGTTGCCGAGCCCAACAGCCCCGGCAATAGTCGCCCCAATCGGGCACGTGGAGATGATGCATGATGGTATACTGCACCAGGAAAGGCCAAGCCCTGCGACCCAGACCCAGCCGCACTGAGAGGACAAAGTGGGGTTCTGCCAACTCCCCTCACACACGAACAAACAGAAATGGGAAAATGTGGTTCGGGGGTTAAAAACCCTAAAACTGTTCTAAGCAGCTCAGAGGTTAAAACACGTGAACCAGTCCGAGTTAGTTCAGACCCCTCTGGTCAACTACCCGACCTCCCTACTTGCCCAAGGTGGAAATTCCACTTTTTAATGGTAGTGATCCCCGCTCTTGGATCTAAAGATGTGCAAAATATTTTTTGGCGCACGAAATACCGAAGAAACAAAAAGTAGAGGTGGTTTTACTCTTCCTGGGTGATGTAGCGAACATTTGGTACCAGGGATGGTTGGCAAAAGTTGAAGAGCTTGACTAGAATTTTTTTCATAGAGGAATTATGTTGAAGATTTGGGAACGTCTCACAAAAAGACTTTATTGAAGAATTTAACAAGCTGACGCATATCAAAACTGTTCTAGAATATCAAGATCGTTTCAAACATTTGCGCGCATTAACAAATATAAAAAATTCCACTCTATCCGAGAGATTTCTTATTTCTAGTTTCATCAGCGCGCTCAAACCAAAACTATAAGTAATGATAAGACTGCTTAACCAAGGCTCGCTCAACCAAACTTTCGAACAAGTCCCACGACAAGAGCGATCCATAATGAAAATGCTTCAATGTTCATATTTCACGGGTAAAGTTATCCGAAATTCAGAAGGATCTAGAGCAAAAAATTATGAACAACCTTCTCGAGCCACAGGAAAACAAATGGAATCTAGAAGGACAGTTGCTACTTGCTACAAATGTGGGGATCGGTATTTCCTAAAACATTGTTGCTTGAACAAAACATTAATTGCAATGGAGGAAATTGTTTTTTTTTTTAAATAAAAATATAAAGAGTGTATTAATATGATACCAAAAAAACAGGAGTATCTCCCATGTACAAAAGTATTTACAACGATGTTAACATATCAATGATCTTCCCAAAATCTGCATCACTATTAATATCATGACTTAACAAAACTGATTAAAAAGTATGAATTCACTTATCTTTTAATCTATTCAAGCTACTCTTAACACTATCAAAAGTTCTCCTATTTCTCTCTTTCCAAGTGACCCAGAAAACAGTTAATGGGATGATATTTACGATACTTCTTTTTACAAGTAAACCCTCTCAAGCCCATACTTCCTCCCTAACCGAACCCGCAATCACCCAATCAATCTCGAGGAGACCGTAAATCATACACCATAACTATAGGTTGTTGGACACCACAATAAAAGACGGTTGCACATTTCCCCAGCCATAAGACAACAGTAGCATCCGTTAACAAATACCCGGCCCATAGATTTCAATCTGTCAATGGTTAAAATTCTATTCCAGCTAGCTTCCCAAGCAAAAAAAGCTATGCGGGGGAAGCACTTTAGTCTTCCATATGATATTTACCGGAAAATCAATACTGTCGGAAGCTTTATATTTACACAGATACTGATAATAAGAGGAGATAGAAAATATGCCATTTTTGTCAAGTTTCCAGACAATCTGGTCTTCAATCTGTGTAATCCTCTGTGATTCTAAAAGCTGCAGCAAATCTTCAAATTCTTCCACCTCCCAATCATTTAAGTTCCTCTTTAAATAAATAGACCACACAATGTTGCCATTACAGACCTGGTATGCTTTCTCCACAGTCATTTCTCTGTTGTTTGACACGCTGTACACCCTGGGAAATCTACTCCTTAAGCTCCCTTCACCCACCCATTCATCCTCCCAAAAATTAATTAGATTGCCTCTACCAACTTTCCAATGAATGCACTGTCGGAATGAATGCCACTGCATCATAATTTTCCACCAAAGTCCCCACCCATGAGAAATAGAAATTCTGCTTACCTTGTTGTTTACCATATACCTGCCCATGGAGGAAATTGTTATTGAAGAGATTTTAGAAGAAAAAGTTTTCACATCTCAACCTTAAGGACGAGGTTGATGCTCAAGAAGAGGACATTGTTAGGAAACTGTCTAGAATGACAAATCCGTAAAATTGTCGAGCCAGCTAGGGTTAAAGTTGATAAACCCTAATCGTTACCATCAAGATCCGCAACTGCTACTGCAACCAAAACAACTGCAAGATCTTAGCCTCAGACACCGACTATCTTTTATTACCTACAGCCTATAAAGGATCAAATTCCATGCATGTAATCATCCAAAAAATAGATTTACCTCAAAATTTCTCTCTTTTCTCATCTTTCTCTCTCTCCCTCTCTTTCTCTTTCTCAATTCAGAAATCATGACTAAGATTCTGACAGATAAATAGAATCTTTTGACTAAGATGCAATCCTTGTTCTCAAGTTTTACATGATCAGAATGCAGTCGCAGAAAATTTCCCAGGAGAAGGCAATACATGCAGGAGCTTTTATTTTCAATATGGAGCAAAATCCAAGATCAAATTCTAATCCTAGGAGTGGTGGTAGAGTGTCTTAATTCCAAAACTGGCCATAGGCTGGTCCTCCTAGCTAGGATTAACTGCACAGGGAACTAGAGAGGCCAAAAGGAACGTCATCCCTTCCACCTCCAAATATTAAGGTTGCAAACTGAGATGATGCTTGGTTCGTTGCTTACCATAAGCTCTACAAAAACAATCCGCAGATCGTGTTCCACTCCCTGCTAACGGTAAGCTCTACAAAATAATCTCCCACCTTTCCCTCCTTGAACCTTGTAGTTCTAAAGACGGCCAGAAATTTGAGCTTCAAGGGCGATGACACCACACATCCTCCTAAAACCTTACTATCTACACATTACACATCTTGTAATGAATTGATCATCCATGTCACTCCAACCTCATCTAATCCAATTCAAAATACTACAGCCAATATGCCCTTTGCTTGAGCTAGAAAGCCAGCCCCTGCCTAAGAGACCATACCTACCTCAAACGATATTCCCCTACAAACTCTCTACAAGTTGGGAACCTCCATAACTATTTGACAACCAAATCTTTGTTGAAACGCCCTAAAGTTCTAATAGCCAAATCACCACTCCTAGAAGGTTACTTATTAGAGTTCCATATCACCACTTAGCAAGTGACAAAAACTTAAAGTACAAGGAAGTACAAGGTGACAAATCAAAAACGTCAAGATGAAATAGCAACCCTATCCCTTTGCAAACTAGACAATGGTATCCTCAAAACAAATAGTAAGTCCCAATGGGAAGCAAAGAAAACAAATAAATCACAACACATCCGGCAGTTGATAAAAATCTACCATTTCTTTCCAGCCATATGACTTGTTGCCCAAGAAAAAAAAAATTAGTCCCCCTCCACAACATCTTATGCTCCTTTTGCCTCCAAAGAACATTACATAGTAGAACAAAAAATTTCCAAGTTACAGGAGCATATCTAAACTATTATGAAAATGGAAAACAATCTTAAACCAAGCACTCAACACTACATCACAATGAAGAAACAAGTGGCTCTTACTGTCAGAGCTCTGAAAACACACAACAAAGATATTAGGGGATAAGGCTCTATTAGGTCTAGGACTAAACAAAATATTAGGTATCAATCTTATTCAGGACCAGCCCACAGTTCAAATAAAAAATCCCACCTTAAAGTGAATTTTCACCTTCCAAAAGGAGGTTTATAAAGCACTATAAGAGCAACAAGGCAACCATAAAAAACTAAGAAGAATTTGCGGGCAAAAGAATCAGACTACATTAGAGGTCAAGTTTTATGATCATATCAATGAACTCTACAGAAAATTTCAAAAAGTTTTATCAACGAAATCTCCCTACATATTGAAGTTTTGGAAGAGAAACAGAATCCAACACACCTAGCCATCTACTAACCACCTACAATAAAAGTGGTTGGTTCTCTAATCCTCTTCATGAGATTATGGGTTTGCACATTCCTGAGAGCTATTTTGCTCATATATGGGCCTAAAAGATTTTTTTTGTTAAATAAGAAGTATGATATGTACTATTGATTCACAAGTACAAAGAGAGTGTCAACCTATGTACAAAATAATTAGATATCAATTAGGATATTTAAAAGGACGCCAAAGTCCTCCGTTGAAAATAGAAGATGACCCAAAACCAAAAAACTCAAGAGTTGGAAACTATCTAGTTCTAACCCTATCCATATCTTCATCTACCCTCTCAAAAACTCTTCTACTTCTCTCTTTCCACACCACCCAAAATATAGCAAAGGGAACGAGTTCACCATGTTCTTTCCCACTACTAATACCCTTCTCAGCTCAGATCTCATCCCTTACCGACTCTGTCATCACCCAACTAATCCCCAACAATCCTAAACATTTAAGCAAGTCAGTGAAGAATGACAGAAAAG